AAATCCATGTTGCTAAAACTTCTTTAACTCTCTGAAAACAGTAGGAACTTGGTGGATTATGCATTGATTTCCTCACACAAATGTTACATAAACTGGAAGCAAGAAGACCTAAAAGGGACAATCATCACCTTATGCAATAATATACGTGCAGAAAATCACAGGTGCAGATAAAGCAGATTTTGAGCAGTGATACACATTTAGAAACTGGATCAACAGTTAATGATAACTTGACATTCTAGGGCTGGTTTTCAGTTGTGACACTAGCTCCCCTGGGTTAGTCATAAAAGACTCTATCCCTGTGTATTTCCTGGTCGCCTGGTTGATGTGGAGTAAGCCCTGGTTTTCTCAAGCAGTGACAATTGGCAGCACACTGCACGGTCTGTCTGTGGGCACCTCTCTGCTTTCTCTTTCACTCTCCACAGCCTTGTGTGTGTACAGTGCTCCCTCCTGACCCAGGGCCTTTGCACACACTGCTCCCCCTGCTCACAAGTCTTTTACTGAGCAAGTGGCCTCCAGATGGGAATCTTAATTTTTTCACAAAATCCAAAGTCCGGTGTACAACTCAATTATAGCCACACTGTGAAACCAAAAACATATGAGAGTGAAAAAATAATATAATTATCAACATACATTGATTGCTGGCTAAGCCCATATCACTTTCACCTGATTCATGTAGTGTTATTTTATGTCGAGCCTTAGAAAGCTTTGCCCAATTCTCTGTTTGAAGACACGACGTGTATTTATTCTTTGTGCCTATTCATGTGGCAGTAGATGACATGTGTCGTCTTGGATGTCCACATCCCTGCAGAGTCTCAGGGAAACCATATTCCACGGGTTCTATGTGAGGACGGAGGAATGGTGGAAGCCCCCGCACCCAACAGCACGTCTGCACCTTTATAATTTTCATGCCAAATAAACTTTGCTTATTGGAGGAAAAAACTAAAAACCCAGAAATGCAAAAAGAAAGAAAAACATCACCAATATGCCCAACATCCAGAAGTATCTAATTCCTGACATTCTGGAGGAAATACGATTTATCCCATTTTCTACCCTGGTTTTTCACCTCAGTTATTATAAACATCTTTCCAGGGCAATAAATAAACATCCCTGCCATCATTTTCCATGACAGTATAGAATTGTACGTGGAATTCTTTTGTAATTTTGCTGCTTTTAAACAGTCTCAGGGATACTCCAGAAGGAACGCTCCTACATGCTTGTCCATGTGTCTCTCAGACTGTGCTCCTGAGAGATGAGCCTCTGGAGGAAAGCGTGGATCCTGAGCTGCTGAGGGGCTGCTCCCGTGTCAGCAGAGTCTCTGGGCCTCTGCTGTCTCCCGTGGGGCCACACAAGACACTCTCTAGAATTAGCAAGGAGAGAAGGCTGGGGCAATAAGGAGGGCAGCGTGAGGCCCAGGGACAGCCAGTGGGGGGACGTGTGAGGCCTTGAATGAGACCAGGTGACACAGCTGAGCCCAGCCTTGCACCCCTAAAACAGCACCGTCACAGCCCTTGCCCAGGGTGCTGAGTGGACATGAGATGTCGTGACGTGCAAGACTCTGGATGTCAAGCCTGCATTATGCCTGGAGTCATGATTATTTTATGAAAATACCCCAAGGTAGGAAACCCCACTTAGAGCCACCTAAGTGGAGGTAATGAAACCTGGACAGAGAAGGGGTGGATCGCGGGGAGCAGGTGGGCCAGCAGGACCCCTGCAGAGGGATGCAGCAGCTCTGCCTCTCTGCCCTCTTGCAGCGTTCGCTTCCACAAAAGGTTTAGCATAAGAGCACTCAGGCCCTCTGCATGACTGTCAGCTGCTTTGGAATGCTTTCCCTCTGCGCTGCAGACATTCCAATGCAACAGCCCACGGGGAGGATTCCTGGAAGACAGCTGCTGGGAGGGATGCATTTCTGGGTGTTAGTGGTCCTGTGTTTTCTCTACTTGGTTATTGGGATCTACGTGGCCTCGCCCAGGCCGGCCTCCTTGCCTCCCCTCCCTGTAGGTGGCACGGTGCCCACAGCCACATATACCCAGAGAGCACCTGCTGATGGAAGAAGTTGTATAAAAAGAGCTGGGCTGTTTTGTCTGCCCTGTGCTTTATCTGAATTATTAAAATCTGTTTTAATCAAAATTAACTAATTATTTTGGTGCCATGTAGCCACAGCTTTGCAATTTACAGTGAAGTTCCCTTATGCTTCTAAATAAAAATCTGTGAAGATTTTGGGGCAGTGCCCTGAAATCTAATTCTTTGTTTAATGGGGACAATGGTGTAATTCTAAGCAGTTCCCAAAGATGGAAGTCGATGCTGCCAGCATGCCTGTGTGGGCTGCGGCAGCACCTGGCACAGCACTGGCTGTTTGGTTGGGAAAACTCTCAGCTGACCACTACTACCTCTTGCCTCCCTGAGGCCACCACAAAACAGACCAGTCAAGAAGCAAAGCCATCAGAACCCCTGGGATGGGGAGAGGAGACCCCTCATCTCTGGACAAGAAGCAACTGAGGCAAAATGGGGTTTGTTTGTAGCCAGACCCCCGGTGTCCAAACACAGCGCCTAGTGCAGGGCTCCAGGGTAAGCGGCCATTGACAGGGCAGCACTGTGATTCAGCAAGATTTTAACCGTCAGAGCCCAGCTGTGTCCTTTGTAAAATAGAAATGACAATAAAATTAGTAACAACACCTATTTCCAGAGCCACTGTGAGAATCCAACCAGCTCAAGTATATCAAACTCTTGGTAAACTAAAACCCAAGAAACAAAAAAAATAACTATCCGTAGACAGAGTTGGTGCTCATGTGCAAGAACGTCCACCCGCAGCATCAGGACCCATCGGCGTGAAGCTCGTTGGCTCAGGTCTGAGCTGAGGGCTAGAAGTGGATGTCCTTTCAGTCCTGGTCCTCCCTTCTCTCAGGGCTCTCTGCTCACGGCCTGCCCTCGGGTTGTCACTGAAGTCCCGTCCTTCCCAGATCTTGCTGGCACCTGGCGCAGATGGCCTTTCAAGTGCAGCCTGACTGTTCCAGCTAGCCCTGGCACCACCAGTTGCTTGTTTCTGGATTGAGGGTCTGGAGACCGTGGAGTGGACAGGGCTGCCTGTCTGTGGAGGGGCACAGCCGGCAAGGCATTTGGGCTCCAAACGGCAACATTGCACATCCTTCGTTCAGATCAAAGATTTCACTGCGTCTGTCCACCTGGGCAGCCCTCAGTCCACCAGTCTCACCCACGAGTCGTGCATCCCCAGGGCTGCTTACTTCCCTTCTCTGACAGACACGAGGACGGTAACTTTTATTTCCCTTTATTGGTTGAGAGACTATATGGGAGGTGTTGCTGCAGAGGAAAAAGAATTCAAATTTCACAGACACAGCTCTATGGAGGGGATGCTGTGCCAGCCCAGACTCATGGGGGAGATGCTGCCCCAGTGGCCAGGACTCACCTGGGCAGAGAACAGATGGCACCCACCTGGCAGGAAGGAGCTGCCCTCTCTGAGAGGTGGCACCTCAGAGCCCCTGGCCTGCAGGGATGTGTGTGTGCAGTGGACAGGTGCATGGGGACAGCGTGGCTCACACTCCCCTCCTGGGCCCTCGGAAAAGGGCCCTCCTTTGACTGGAGGGGCCCCTTCAGAAAGCGCGTGTCTGCTCTCAGTTGCCTGGACGAGAACAGTGTCCAGACAGGAGGCCTCCATCGCTGTGTCGCTGCAGCACCCCAGCTGTCTGCACACTGACTGGAGGCTCCGACAGCCAGTTTGGCCAGTTTTATGTGTGTTTAATTAACCAAAGTAAGAAGAGACGTTGTTGTCACCCATGGGCTTCTTCGGTATCTGTCTGTGGGTAGGAATGTTGGGGGGCATGCGAGGTGCTGCGGGGGTTCCTGGCGGCGAAGGCATCCAGGCAGCTGATCCTCTCACCTGGGTGTCCCACCTGAGCGTTTGTCTGGTGCTCAGGTCGCTGCCTCCCTCTGAGGCCGCATGAGGAGGTGGCACCCGTGCACAGCGGTGTTCCCGAATGTCTCTAGCCTGCATCAGGAGGCCACGTGCTTGACACCCTCCGTGGCTGGCAGGGGGAGGTAGGAAGCTGATGACCATTTTCCAGGAAGAAATACTTAGTTTCCTTTTTAAGAAACATAATCTGGAGTAAAGTATGACTTGGTCTTGTATAAAATAAGCACCTAGATAGAGTGGCCCTGGCTTTGGATGAGTCAGCATGAGTGTGCCATGTGCTGATGAGGAGAGAAGATTCGCAGTGGGGGCCCAGCATTGGAGGAACCAATGAGGACAAAAGCGCGTGAAGGTCGAAGCGCTGGGGGACCGCAGCCCTGAGCATCCTGGTGGGCATCTGCGAGGGGTTTGGTCAGGGCTTCCCATTGCTTCGTCAGTGTTGGAATCGTCCAAGCTGTTTTTTAAAAATCCATTACTGGGGGGCCGGCCCCACAGCATGGTGGTTAAGTTCATGCACTCTGCTTCAGCAGCCTGGGTTTGTGGGTTTGGATCCTGGGCATGGACCTACACCACCTGTCAGCCATGCTGTGGTGGTGACCCACATATAAAGCGCAGCACAGATGCTCAGGGCTGATCTTCCTCAAGCAAAATAGAGGAAGATTGGCAACAGATGTTAGCGCAGGTGCCAATCTTAAACAAAAGAGTGGTGTCCATGTACCAGACGAGTGCCTTCTGAGAGTGCCCAGTTCCGGCCTCGAAAAGTTACACCCTCACTCCCTTCCTCTGTCACTCGGTCCCAGAGATCTGTGGAATAACTGGCTTCTGTAGGGTTTCGTCTTCTATGGAACGGCCCAGGAGCCCTGTAGTGGGGATTTTTCTCTGTCTGTTCTCGTTGAGAGTTCCCTAGGCTGGGGCTGTCTTTTTGGGGAGAAGCTGACTTGCGGGTAACAACAACAGCGACCTTCTGGGAGGGCTTGCTCTGTGCCAGGACGACATCCATGTCTGGGGGCATCATCAAGGGAGTCCTCTATTAATCCTGTCTTCTCTTGTCCCGTCCCTGCCCGTTTCTCTCTTGCAGAGTGACTATTCGAGTGACACGGAGAGTGAAGACAACTTCCTTATGATGCCCCCACGGGACCACCTGGGCCTCAGCGTCTTCTCCATGCTCTGCTGCTTCTGGCCTCTGGGCATCGCGGCCTTCTACTTGTCCCACGAGGTAAGGCCTCTCTCGGTAGGTCACACACCCATAGCACACCCAGGCTGAGAGGAGGAGAGCCCGCGAAGCCCGTTCAGCTCGTGCGCCAGAGGTTCTGGTTGGGGAGCAGGCCCCAGGGAGGCCAGGCGCCTCGCTCAGCCTCGTGGCTGCTCTCTCCTCACAGAGGCGGGATTGCCCCATGGCTCCCAGGGCAAGGCAGGCAACCTTCAGGAAGGGGGTTGCATGAAGGAAGCTGGTGCCCCTGGTAGAAAGCAAATACAGGGAAGCCTGGCTCCAAGGAGACGCTTGGATGGCACTAGCAGGACTGACGTGGTGCTGGGGCACTGTGCCCGGGGCGAGGACACTGACATCACACTTATACTGTGAAAGAAGGCAAGGGCGGTTGTTTTCTCTGTGAGAGGCTCATTCGTATAAAATAGATTCCAGTTCCACAGCAGCCTGTGTGTCCTCATCCCAAATTAATGTCCTGCTAGAGGAAATGGTGCAACCTGGCGGGTATGGTGGCCTCCTCGGCCAGTGGGAGGCTTCTAAAGGCATCGCTTCCCAGCTCTGTTTCCCTGCAAAGCATCCTCCTCGTTCCTTTGTGGAACCCAAGTTTTGAAAGATTTTTTCTAGCAAATGAAGAGTATTCATTCAGAAATAATCTATATTCGCATATTTGTTAATCAAAGGAAGACATTTATACTTGCCAATTACAGATGAGGTTTCAGCCCCCCACCATCATCCCACCCAGGGTGAGCCTGGGGCCCTGGGCTTATGGGTGACCGCAGGGCACAGTGACCAGCCCTCAGTGCTCAGGGGTTTTCCTCTCCAGCTTCTAGGGTTCTGGGACTGAGGCTGCAAACAGCTGGCTCTGGCAGTCTTGTGTGTAAAACATAGATTTCTCTTGGCTTGAAAACCGATCCCCAGCCGAGCCCAGAAGAGGCCTCTCACTGCTTCTTGCTGGTTTCTGCATTGATTCCTTCTCATCTGACTGTGAGAGGAGAGGACAGTCCCTTTATGCACTTTTCTTTTTCCCCTGCTTCCCCTTTCCTGGCACCAGGGAGGAGCCGGGGATAGCGGTGGACCCACTGGCGGTGGTGCTCCTGGGGGCAGGTGCTTCTCAGCAGGAACACCTGAGGGTCACCCGAGGCCCTTCCAGGCAGCATCAAGGTGGGCCCCTGCTCAGCACTGCTCTGGGGTCCCATGCTGGAGGATAGTGGATGGGGAGGGAGTGGAGAAAGTCCTGCACTGCTGGGTCAGGCTGAGCACCTTTCCATGTCCACCTTTGGCCTGGAGGATCTTTCTGAGCTTCTCTTTTGTGAGTTTGTCCCACAAATGCCAAACACCCCCTTCTCCGAGGGCACCAGCACCGGCTGGCGGACAAGAGGCCTGGGCCTGGCAGGGGCCTGGGCAGCTAGGGGCTGAGGCAAGGGCCGTGTGTTCTCAGACCCCAAGGGGAGGGCGTGGGCGTTGCACACTGAGAATTGGGACACACAGCGGGACTGGACAGACACCCTCTGGGTATAGAGCATGCTCTGAGGAGGACCCCAGAGGCCGAGCATCTGCCCGTTCCTGTGGCAGCTGCACCCTGAGCCCGGGCTAGAGCGCTGCAGACGGGCCAGGTGGCTTCACCAGGAGGGCGGTCAAGTGGATGGAGCAATGGGAACCAGCTTCTTGCATATCATGGGTAATTCAGGCTTTTCCCAGGAGCTGACCGAGCGACCTCACCCGCTCCATGGCATCCCCGGCCTGCCACAGCGCCTGAGGGGTGAAGGCGGGCAGAGTTCCCACCTCCTGGCCCAGCCTGCTAAGAGCAGCCTTTCCTCCCGCAGGGAGTCCCATCAATGTCAGAGCTGGATTTTGATTGCCAAATTTGAGAATGAGTGATATTTCTATATTAGATCCTCTGGTACAGGTGTTAACTGTTCAAAGAGATGCAGGTGGACATCAATATGCCATGCAGGCAGGGTGCCGGGCAGAGCACGCTCTGGATCAACGAGGAGGGGTATGTGGAAAGGCTGCCCACGTGGCCAGGAAGGAAAGGCTGCCCCTTGCTTGGCTGCTCCACACACCCTAGCCGAGGCTTCCCGTCTGGAGCAGAGCAAGCTGTGCACGGCATCTTTGTCTGAAAGATTGTAATTATAATAATTAACATAATTCATTGTATTTATAATAAAATTTTAATTATAATAAAAAGCAAGCCCACAAAGCAGAGACTGGCGTTTAGATGCCCTTTCTCAGAAAGTACTTCTGTTCTCCACACCTTGAGAGCCACTTGGCCTTGGCCCCCGTGGTGGAGAGTACCCTAATGGTCTGTTCACCAGCCTGTGTGAGCTGCCCTTCGGGGACCCCCGGTCGCGTTTCCTGGAGGTAAAGAGCAAACATCTTGAGGAGTGTAGGGGTTGCCTTCACTCTGGGGCTCTCAGCTCCTCTTTTCGTGGTGCTGTGAGCATGGAGTCCCCTTCAGTGAAGCCCCAGCAGGGAAGAGATGCCACATTTTCATAAAGAAATCTCTGGAGGTGAGTGTCCTTCACGGGGCTTGCCTCCAAATCCTTCTCCCTGGGAACACCCAGGCTGAGACCACGGCCACCCAGCTCCTGCCTTCACAGTCCACCGCTGTGGCCCTTCTGGGCTTTGCTGCACACCCGGGAGATACAGCCCTTGGCACACAGGCCTCAGCCCAGCCGTGAGGCTGCTTCTGTTTGTGCCTCTTCAGCCCGACATCAGACGCTAAACCTGTAGCAGGAACTGAGGGGAGCAGGCAGCTGCTGAGGGGAGGATGCGCAGCACGCCCCAGAACAGATGCTCTGAGAATCGTTACACTAAACTGAATCAGTGCTTTCCTGGGCGCGGCCACCGGGAGCTCTACCCCCAGCACTGGAGAGAGGGGAGCCCAGAGCCCATCTCTGCAGGGCTGTTGTCAGGTGGCCGCCCATCCCTCCTGCTGCCCTGAGTGCTGGGGGCTGGGCCGGTGACCTCAGAGTCAGCAAACAGCATAGTAATTAAGCCACAATCCCCAAAGTCCCAGATGCTGCTCACAAGGAAATCTTTGACATCTGAGTATGACTTCGGGGTTTCTTCTTTTACCACCGATCATGTCTCAGTGTAGTCACTGCCAATTAGACGATGTCTGCACATTGTCAAAACACCCGCTCAGTGAAGTCAGGGGAACATGTGAGGGCATTCTGGGAGGACAAAACCAAACAAGTCTCTGTGGTGGGATTACCTCGGGCAGCGGTGAGCGTCATAGGACCCCTGGACTTACAACCCAGGGTATTTTTTGTCCTGTCCTCTTCTGGCTGGGTCCAGGCCAGCAGGCAATTTCAGATGCCTAGGTTTCCTGATCCATGAGACCATGAAATCAACCATGGCCCATAGCTGATGAGGCTTAGGGGGATGAAGAAAGAGGGAGAATCCCCATGAGGGTCCTGGAAAGCGGCAGGTGCCCAGCGTGATCTGCTGGGAATGGCATTGTCAGCACACAGGTGCGGTCCCCGGGGAAGGAAAGCCTGGAAGGAGACAGAATCTTTTCTCCAACAGGTTTTATAATTCAAAAAAGGTGTGAATTAAGTAGTAGTAAGAGTAGTGATAACAGTACCGGTGAGGTGGTAACATGTGAGCATCTATCAGGGGCCAGGTCCTGTGTTCCATACTGAGCACCTGGCTTTTCAGAGCATGGTCCTGACCAGCAGTGTCGATCCCCGACACTGTTAGAAATGCACGTTGTCCGGCCCCATCCAGACCTGCCCAGTTGGAGCCTTTGGGAGTAGGGCCTAGGCACCTGCATTTGAACAAGCCCTCCCACTGCGTCTGACGTCGCTCAAGTTTGAGTAGTGCGGTTGCCCATACATGATCTCGTAGGAAGTCTGTGACATGGCACTGCCATCACATCACTTTGTGGGCCATGAAGTCAGGGTTCCGTGAACTCAGATGGTTGCCCCGAGGCCAGAGCGGGCTGTCAGTGGGCTGGGACTACCAGGACTACCTGGCTCAGAGCCATCTCCGGGGGAGGCACCTGCTTGGGCTTGAACCCTGATGAGGGATTCAACGTGGAGGCAGGGGGAGGGTGAGTGTAGCTTTTGTCCACAGCTACATTTTCCTCCAACAGCATTAATCGTTTGAGCCAGCTCCCAGTGCAAGCATGTTTTGTAAACCAGTTTATAGAGAGGAAAGTGTTGTGTGATGCATCCGTCTAGGAACTGAGGTTTCTAATGATGTTGAGGATAGAAATGAATCCATAATTTACTGGGCGACTGCTGTGAGCTAGTTAATACACACACTTTATCTCGCTTAATTTTTGCAATGTGTCTGAAAGGTGGACAATTCTTACTCCTATTTTATGGATGAAAAAAACTGAAGTTACAAGGGATTAAAAAACTTGCAGAAATCAGAGAGGTAGCAAGTATAGGTACATGAGGCAAGTATTGATATTTTTAACCCTTAAAATCAAATTTTCCGCAATGTAACTTTGACTTTTATCTGTTTACAAACAAAAATAGAATCACAGTACTTGCTTCTCAATCTACTGTGCCTCCCGCCGAGGAAGAGAAACCCCTCCAGGCAGGACTGCGGGGCGGGCCGAGGCGACGGGGCTGTGTCTGCTGCAGGCACCTTCTGCCCTGCGCATTTATTGTGTCTCAATTTCATTTCGTTTCATTTCATAAATGTTTCTTTCCTTTACTAACTGCAACATTATAGCAATAATTAAATGAGGAAAGGGTATTAAGGATCAGATTATGAATTTTATGAATAGCACTAGCAAAAGGAATTGGACGAATTAGGGGAAAGAAAAGGGAATCTTTTTATGGTACTAAAACGTAAAAGAAGGAAGATCCAGCCAAGCCAATAGCAGTGTCCTTGAATTCTGTTCATTCATGCAGGGTTTCCTGAGCTCCTGCACTGTGTCAGGACCTGCTCTGGGGGCAGAGGTACAGCAGTGAACAAAGCAGACAGGACCCCACCTTCACAGAGCTTTCATCCTAGTGACCTAACAATGAGAGGCCAGAAACAAACAGAAG